GAATTCATATTACAACAAACACATCATTCTCACATTCAGAAGGACCGCGGCGAAAATATAAATTCGCCTGTAACTGTCATACCTAAACGAGAGCGTTGGGCGGAGCGGTTTCTGACGCCTAGCGTTAACGCCGAAGTGCCACACCTAAACAAATGCGTCGACGCTACGTCACATGCAGAAAAAAATACCAACAATAAGCATAGGTTTGTTTGTGTTTAACACGAAAATGACAGTTTCGCCAGTGTCTGCACCCAACTTCACTATCTAACGCCCTGTTAAAATCGAATTTTCCAACCATTGGACAATGCTGTCAAGACAATGAAGATATACGTATTAGTTGTCAAAATTGTTCCAGTGGAAAAGTATGAATGTATTAGTGAAAAAGTGTGCATGTATTGCTATTATCATGACAGTATTGTCCGGTGTGAACCCTAACGGCGCGTTTACGTTGGACGCTTTACGTTTACATTGGACGTTGTCAAAAACGCATGCACGGAAAAGTATGCACGTACTTATTAGTGAAAAAGTGTGCATGTATTGCTATTGTCATGACAGTATCGTCCGGTGTAAACCCTAAGTAAGTTAGACAATGCTGTCAAGACAATAAAGATATACGTATTATGCAGCGTTTTTGCTGCATTTAAAATGCAACATTTAACACTTTCGAACATATGTTTTCGAAGAGCGTTCATGCTATCGCATTTAGTAAATGTACATTTACGCGAGTTCGAAATCGTATGCTTTTGACAAACAGCCGTGTTTCAGTCGCTTATTCAGATCCGTATTTAGATTTTCGCCGCGGTCCTTCTGAACGTCAAAATGACGTGTTTGTTGTAAACCTGGCGAATTCATATTACAACAAACACATCATTTTGACGTTAAGTACAACGGCGAAAATCTAAATTCGCCATTAACAGCACCTTGAATAAATTCGCCTTGAATGTGTTCCTTTTCTTTTGTACGTGTTTATTGATATATCTGTAGCTCGTTTCAGAACAATTCTCTACTTAGGCCAAGGCGAATTTATACAAGGTGGTGTTGTAAAATCAGCTGATTTCTTCGCCTTACATGGATTTTGTTTTTGCTTTTACTGATTTGACAGCACACCCATCAAAGGCAAAAACAAAATACATGTAATTTTTGGGGCGAATTGAGATTTGACAACACCCGCAATACAAAATACATGTGGCTGTTATTGTTGTAATCTAAATTCGCCAGTAACACCACCTTGTATAAATTCGCCTTGACCTAGGCGAACTGAGATATGAATTCGCCGCCCAGTTCTCTACTGCTAATGCCTGGATTATAATG